GTGGTAATGTGACCTCTGGCTGTTGTGATCCTCACCGATCTTTCTTGATTTCTTTATACTTTTCATCATTTCCCAAGTTTCCTATCTGATACCGTATTTACTATCAGAAAAAGCTAAAAACTTTTTTTCCTACTTAGAAATTAGTTTTGTATACATAATACAGATAAACAGAGGCTCAGCATAAAAGAAAAACGTCAAATCCTTAAGAATATTGACATGGTTCCCTTGGCTGGTGGAACTATGGATAATTTTTTTCTTCCTTATCCTTTTTTATATTTTACCAAGTTTCTGTATCAACATAATTATTCCCATAATTAAAAAAGAAACTACTTTTAAATATGCTATTTTCATTAAATCTTCAGCCTCTCCCCTGAATAGCCATAGCATGTTCATGCTCTACCTGAAAATTGGCTGTCGTCTGAGGACACTTTTCCGAACAGCCCAGTTAAGGGTACTGTTTCCCTGCTCACACCCCCTGTACCACTGGGGCTGGTGGTGAGGGAAATGCGCTCCTTGCTTCTCAGTACTGTTGTTCCTCCTACCTTCCCTCAAACAGCTCCTTTAAGGCCATGCCACCCCATTATTCCACCCTCTGCACAGCCTAATTACTAGTGATACAATTCTTGATAGCTCCTCCGCAGTCACTGAAGAGTTTAGCAACAGGCTTATTCTCTTCCCACTTCCAGCTTTTTCATTACTCTTAGTTTAAACATCCACGTGGACCATCCATCTGACGCCTCTATATGATGATGCTTTCCTGCGTCCACCCCTATGATCAAGCCTTAGATCTTAGGATCTCAGTCTCAAGTATCTCACCTCTTCTGGATTTCTTCCCTCAATCCCTCCACCCCAGCACTTCTCCCAGAACTGCAATCCACTAGCCTATCACTTTCCTTTTCTTCTTCAGACTCTGTTATTGCCTTTAAACCTTAATTTCCCACGACTGTAATCCCTGCCTTGCTCCTTTCTCACTCTGTTAGCACTCACCCGACAGAACCCCAAACCGTTTAAACAGGCAACTCTCTGCCTACTCCATACCTTTTATCAAGCAGCCGAACAAGACTAGAAAAAACATACAGCCGTGCTGGTTGTTTTCACTTTAAATTCGTGACCACAAACCTCAAAGGGAGCCCTCCGCGTTGCCACAGTCACACTGCTCCCCTCACAGCAAAGGCCTTGAAAAGGAGTTGACTAGTTACCTCCATTTCTCCCCCTCCCGTCTTCTCTTGAAGCGACTCTCATCAGGCTTTCGTTCTCATCACTCTTCTAAGTGTCTTATCCGAGTTACCAGTTATCAGCCCCAAAGCCTTTAATATGCTTGATCATTCCTTCCTGTTTGAAATGCTTTCTTTACTTGGCTCCTAAAACAAGGCATGCTCATGTCTTTCCTCCTGCCTCACCGGCCACCCCAATTTACTCTCCTCTGCTGGAGTTGCCTCCTGTCCCCCACCTCCTTCAGGGCTCAGTCCTCAGACCGTTTCTATCTTAAAAGCCAACTGTAGTTGATGGTTGTGGCTGCTTGAAACACTGTATTGAAAGGAACCCGGAAGCTAAATTGGGTTCAGTAGAAAACAGAGTTGTTTTCCAGGAAAATGGAAGGGTTAGGAATTGCGGCATTCATGCAGGTAAGGGCTACTCTGTGACTTTAAACCTACATGTGGACTACTTCCAATCTTTTCTGCTTAGCTGAGTGCTCCCAAGAATTCTGTATCTGTACCAGCGCCTCCTACTGGAGATCTCCACACGACTGTCTAATGAGAGATCTCAAACCTAGTGACAACCAAGCGGAACTTCTGATCAGCAATGCCCTTCGAAACAAGTGAACAGACATTACTCGCCCTCAGAACTCTGTCCTTCAGTAGTGGCAACTTCATTCACTCAGTTGCTCAAGTAAAAACTCTAGGAATGATCCTTACTTCCCCTCTTTTAGTCAACGCTTCACCTAAACATTTATATCTATGAGCAAATCTCATTGGCTCTAGGTCCAAAGCATTTTCTAACTTGACCCCTGTCTCCCCACCGCCTAGATTACTGGTACCTTGTACCAAGCCACCACGGCCTCTTACGTGGTCCACTACAACACCTTCCTAGCTGGTCTGCCAGTGTGCCCTCCTGCCCCCTTATAATCTATTACCGTCACAGCAGCCAAAATTATTTGTAACAGTACAAATCAAATAATGTCACTCTCCTAGAGTTTCCTGCTCTGCTTGAAATAAAATATGACTCGTAACCCTGGCTAATTTCCTCCGGCCTGTCTCTCCAACTCTATTTCTAAGCAGTCTCTCACACCCTAGACTTCTGCCATTTGGGGAACCTCCCTTTAGTGCCAATGCTTTCACTCCAGGGTTTTTATACTAGCTGCTCCTTAGACTAGAATGCTCTTGTGACATTCTGACCTCAATTTACATCCTTCCTCTTCGGAAGTCTTCCCTTATCACTCAATCTAAAGTGGCACCTCAGTCACTATCACCCTATCTTACTCTCTGCACAGTTAACTGCTTGATATCTGAGTGGTTTATTGATGAATTTGTTTGTTCTCTCTCTCTCTCTAATGCAAGATCAAAACCGTGAGTATCTTCTCCTTTCACCACCCCGGTAAGAAGGTCTACTTAATAAATGTTCATTGATTGGGATTAGCAGATATAAACTACTACATACAGAACAAATAAACAAGGTCCCACTGTGTAGCACAGGGAACTAACTATACTCAGTACCTTGTAATAACCCATAATGAAGAAGAACATATATGTATGACTGAACCACTATGCTGTGCACCAGAACACAACACTGTAAATCAACTATACTTCAATAAAAAAAATTCATGGAAAATGATTTGTGTAATTTTTTTAGTATGTTATATTTCAGTAAAAAAAAAAGGTCTTTCATTCTGTGCGTGTGTGTGTGTATGTGTGTGTGTGTGTGTGTATTTATTTCTTCATATCTGTGAAACAACTGAATGAGACTAGAACTAAATTAAGAACTCCCTACTTGGGATTAGAGAAAGGAATTCTCTGAAGCTGAAAAAACACAAATTTATTTTGATTCAAATCCAAACTGTACAACTTTTTGCCTGGCAGAGGTAGGTGCTGACTTTACAATAATGAAAAAAGTTTGCCCTCGTGGAGCTTAAGGGAGACAACGAGAAATACTACTGCAATACAGTATGTAAACATCATAGGAGGAACAGCAGATGGTTCTATAGGTATACTTAACACAGCCTGAGAGGGGGAGAAGCAGGAAATGCTTCCTCGAGGAGGTGCCATTTAAGCTGAAATCTGATCTTAAGGATGAGCAGTTATGATCCATGCACTTGCGGGGGTGAAGTGGGGGGGAAGACACTCAGTGAACGAGTATTTTATTCTGGATGGAGGAAACATTAGCGAAGTCCAGAATCCAGAGAGCTCATAACATGTTTTCAGGGAACTGAAAGTTATTTGCTGCGGCTGGAGAGCAGAATGTAAATTGAGACGGGGAGAGAGAAAGACTGAAGAAGTACATGGGTACCAACATGAAGCCCTGCTAGGGAGTTCAGACTTTATCCTGAGGGTAAGAAAGCCATGGAAGGACTTAAAGCAAGATAACTTTTCCAGGCACCTTCATCTTTATTAAAGAAAGATCACTTTGGCCACAGTGTGGAAAATTTTAGAGGGAGACAGAAAGGCCAACTCTTCTAAGCAGCAAATGAGAGGAGAATTAGGGCAGTAACAATGGAGGCAAAGAAAATTAAAGATTAAGATCCACACTGGAATTTGACACAACACTGTAAAATGATTATAAATCAATACAAAATGTTAAAAAAAAATTAAGATCCTACTCTAAGAAGTACCAGAAGCAGCCAAGAATTATGACACAAAAGAAAATGAATACTAAACATGCAAATAAGGAGGTACAGATGTAAGTTACCAAGTCTATCAGGAGTTAAGTTTCATAGAATATGTGATATCTAAGCTGAACTTTCAAGAAAGTATAGTAAGACTTCCAGAGATGAAGACAAGACATCCCAAGCTTTATAAAAGACTTTTACATAGCAGAGTTGCTTCCTAGTACAAATAAAGAAAAATTTTAAATAATCTGCATGTTTAAAATGTCTATCCTATTTTTTAGCAAAAAACTTTAAAATCTACATTTATGACTAATTTATAAGATTATAATTTCATTGCAATTTATCAAGTCTATTCTATTCAACCACAAGCTATAAAAATCAGTCTGCCCTCTAGGAGGTCTTTATTATCATTACAAAGATAGCTTTACTAACAGTAAAATCATATGGATAACTTAACAAAATCAGTCCAATCAAGATATATCTATATAAATAGTTCTAGATTGTGAAATAAAGGTGCATATTGTTCATTATTTTGATAAAAATTTAAATAATAATAAACTGACATAAATTTAAGAGATAATAACTATACACTAGTTCAGAAAATATTTATTAAGAATTTATATACACCCACTTGCACACTTTTACATACACACTGGTACTATGACAGATGATTGAGAGCCAAAGAGCTAAGATCCTTCCTCAAGAATTTATAATTTAGATAGGGAAACAGAAGTAAATATACTTCGGTAAGCATTGTTACAAGACTTCGGCAATGATAATGTGACTTTATAAATTAAAAATAGTTCTAGAAGAGACTTTAACATTCTTTTACATTTCACACTGTAAAAATACAGGTGTCAAAGGGATAACATTCTAACATTAATACATTTTATATTTCTAGTGTTCTACTCTACAGATACAGTGTTGGATTTGAGAAAATTGCTACTGATTTGATTTACAGACCAAAAAAAGATTACTAAATATCTAAAAGAAATATCAAAACTTAGGTAAAACACAGGGAAAAATAGGAAGATGAAAAGAAATAAGTCTATGCAAAAATCTGTTAAAGACCAAAAAAAAAAAAACCTCCACCATAATAATAGTTTAGATCTGTAATTTAAGTAGCATATTTATCACCTCTCGGTTTAATCCTTGAGAGGAAAACACCAGCACTTACCTTACAACTATGAGCATGGCTATCAGGATTGAACAGATAGGATCTGCTATCATCAGACCGAAATTCTGCATCATGATGGCAGAGGCAATGACACCGATACTCCCCAGTGTATCCGCCAGAATGTGTAAAAATACACCTAGAAATAAAGCATAAGGAAAATCAAAACATTTTCTGATCAACTGAAAATGCAAATATTACTTAAAACTATATTCTTGATTTTATATATACAAAACTAAATACCAATTTGAAAATCAGAATGCAGATTCACTGTTTAGTAAAGAAGTAAAAGTAGCTTTGGGAATCGAAATAGTCTTTTCTTTTTAAAAAATACCGAGGGTTAAAATATTTGACTCATAAATTACATTTGCCCTTAAGGACCCTTAATAATTTGCTATAATATAAAAGAAGTAGAGATATAAATTGATTTAAAAAATGTTTGTGTGCATTCATCTCTGGTTAAGAGTCCAAAAGCTAATAACTTGTTAGGAGAAAACTGCATTAGACTGAAAGAATCAGTCAAGAAAACATTGTTCATAATTACAAACATGTACACACAGAGCCCTCTGCTGGCAATTGAAATTACTACCATTTGAGACTAGAATTTCCTATGGACCTCAACTCTACTAATCCCGATAAACTTGATTATCCTAAAGGGATTGTTACCTATAGTTACATGCTAAACTCTAACCTGATATAAAAGAAAATAGAAATGGGAATATTTTAAAGTAGATGTAAATATATTTTTAGCCTTTGATAATTAAATATTGAAATGGTAGGACACTGAAGTTCTTTCTAACTGCCCAAGAACCTAGTCCCAGGAACTTACCTGATCTTTCAGCTATCTATCGGGCTCTTCAGCCACCATGGATTGATGGACACTCAGAAAAAACAAACTAATTTTCACAATAGCTCGTATAAAAGATAACCAGGAAGGTAAATCTAACCTCCCATCCTTCAACCTGTGATGATTTCCAGAACTAAAAAAAAATTCCTATCATCAAGGCTGCATTCACAGCACTGAATGTAGATGCATTACATACGTATGATTACAAGCTATTTCAGCAAATGCTGTCCTAAAACCATTCCACATATTTCACAAATGGAAAACTAGTGACTAGAAGACACACTTAAGCCCCCTGAAATAAGCTCCTCGGTGTGCAGGAACATACTCACAGTGAAAAAGTAAAAAGCAAGAGCTGTATCAAGAAATAGGGGAGAAAGTAAGTGAAGGAGAGAGTGGAACACCAGCTAGTGAGGAAGTCAGACTGAAGTCAAAAGTTAATAAAGGCAGGACGACAGGGAGCTGGGACTCAGGGAACTTTGACAACGAAGTCGAAATGGAAATCCAGGGCCGAAGATCGGTTCACATTCCACAAAAGAAACTACCAAAGTTCACAGACAAGACTGATTTTCTCTGGCTTGTAAAATTTTGTAATATATCATTTTATATAATATATAGGCTCCTGTTTAGGTGTCATCATTTGATGCCTCTGGATATGAGACAGATCTCATTTTGTATTACATTTTTAAGAATATAATGGACTTTACTTTTGAGAGCAGTTTTAGGTTCACAGCAAAATAAGTGGAAGGTGCAGAGAGTTTCCTTATACCCATGGTCCCAACTCACGCATAGCCTCCCTCATTGTCAATATTCTCCACCAGTGTAGTGTGTTTGTTACAACTGACACATCATTATGACCCAAAGACCATAGTTCATATTAGGGTTCACTCTTCGTGTTGTATATTCTTTGGGTTTGGATGCATTACATTTTTAGCACTAAAATTTTTTACAACACAAATACATATTAAATATTATTCTTTGAAAGAATATTTAATAATCTCACAGAAGCAAATGTACTATTATTGATGTTACTATAGTCACTGGCATGGGTATTGCTTATATTTAAGCAGTATAGTTTCTGAATATTTTAATCTTCTTATTAAATCTGAGAAAACAGCAAAGTGACAAAGGAATATCTGCTAAAATACCTAATAGTATATATTTAAAAATCAACTAGGAAGGCTAACATTTTAAACACAAATCCTACAGTATGTGTTTTTCTTAAAGGAAGACTTCAGATAGCTCAAAACTATGAAGCCAGTTTCATAAAACTGAGAAATACACAAATTGCCATCATACCTTGTAAAATCTGTCTGCTGGGTCCTGCTGTTTCTTTTAAGGAAGGGCCATCTGTAGAGAGTTAAGTTAAATTATTTTAAAATACATCTTCAATTCCTGATTCAATTTTTGCAATTCAGAGTACTTTTCGTTCAAATGTATTGTGAAGGACGCTTGACTACATGGCCACATCAGACTTACAAAATTATTTTTAAATTTTAATATAGTAATTGAATGGAGACTGACATAGGAAATCTCAAAATGTGTCAACAGTACAGAGTAGTCAGGAAATTATTACATTAAGCAATCTGGTAAAAAAGAAAAACAAAGTAAATTAAAAATACTGGTCTTCTAATATTCATAACATACCTTACAGAACTTGCTACACCAATTCTACAGTTAGAAAATCCAGAAAAAACAAAGCTACTGCTTGATATCCTAAGAAGACCAAGAAATGAAGCCAGGACCGCATCCAGAAAAACTGGACTCCGGCAAACAGCAGTTTTCCAGTAGCTTCCAGATGAATGTGGCAAGCTTTTCATACAGAAAAGGTAAGAATGCTTTTTCATTTTGCCTTTATGATGAAGAAATGAAAAAAATACTGCGATTTCTTTTCTTAAATACTTGGAAGATGACTCATCAACTTTAACATAATATCAAAGCAGAAGATACAGGTAAACAATGCAAATTATCAGCAATATTTGTTCAAAGGGATCATCAGGAGGACTGACGAGCTTTCTGATCACAACTCAGAGTCATGGTTCTTGGCCCACAGCGCCAAAGAGCTGACAAACCCTTATTACCACAGCTGTGGCAGGGCAGTGTAACGATCCCAGGAGAAGCATAAAAGCATAAGGCTGCGCAGTGATTTCTGCCTGATCACGGCACTGCTATGTGGGGGAAAAGATGCAGCTATCTTGGAAATCCTGCTGAAAGTCAAAAATGTAACTGTTCTAAAAACCTAGCTCCTTATCAAGGCACCAGATTTCTGTCTATACATAGTTGGTCTAAAGAAGTCACTTTGACATAATTATTTTGAAAGGTGTATTCCCCTATACTAATGGAAAAGTTATATAAAACAACGTAACTCCAATCTATGTTAAAATTGAAAGTTCTTCTGGATGTAAAATTTGTTGTCTGCGGCAGGCACTGTCTGCCTTCTTAGCAAACCCATTTCTTCTTCTTCTTTGGTAAACAACGTAACTAGATTTCCTAGGCTTCCGTTAGGAGGTGTATGTGACTGAGTTGCAAACAAAGAAATATGAGATGTAAACCTTTTTCCAGGCTCAGCCCATAAGAATGTCCCAAATGATGCTCTACGCACTCTATCTCCAGCTAGATGCAGAGAATCCAGTGATGGATCCCAAGAATCCTACAGATGGAAAGACCCCGGATCCTGGAGTTGCCACGAGGAACAGAGCCCCCACCTTCCACCCTATCAACCCAAGATATAAACCTTTACTGCTTAAGTCACTGAGATATGAGCAGTTAAAACAAACAAACAAAATAAACCAGTTGGCTTTACTCACAGTGCAGCATTCCAATAAAATGAAGCTCACAGTATTTCCCAGTAAGACTATAATGTATCTTATGGGCAAAATGGAATCATGGTCCTATTATTTTTGTATTCCTCAGACTGGCTTATGTAATACAGAATAATACAAAGCTGAAGGTGGAATAACAGTTAACAGTAGATTTTGGAGTCAGAGTCCCTGTTTGAAGCCTGGCATTTCTATTTACTAGTTCCTATGATCTCTTTGTGTTCTGATGTCATGCCAAGTCTTCTTTCCCACTTATCCTTCTCCCCCTTGACCATAAAAGGGCTATTTTTCACCTATCTAAAAGCTTACTACAGTGCATTGCACAGGGTACTAGAAATATCCTAGGGCAAAAAACAAGGGGTCAATTGCAAATGTTGGCGATAATGACTCTAATGACTGATTAGCAAATCTTTTGGTAAGCAACATGGTTTTCAATTCTTTGCTCTTAATAAAATGTAGGGACTAGCTAATGAAACTGCCAATTAACAGATCATCAAAAATATTTATGTATGTAATTTTTAGAATGTAATTCTGAAGGTGTTCAAAGAATTGACTGAAATGGCTATAACAAAATTCCTTATATTTTAGGTTTCTTAGTACTTGTAAAAATGAAAAATAGGAACAGAATTAACGCCAAAGTCTGTTTTATGCAAATCATGTTATTTATACATAAACTAACTGAGAAAAATCCAATCATCTCATCAAGATATTTCAAATAAAATATTGCTTTTTATTATTATATATGTATCAAACCTAAAAATAGAATTATTTTGATTATCTTTATACTAGTGAAAGTTAGAATAACTCCAGCTGAAAGAAATGTTTAAATGCTAAGTCTTATGTTCCCAGGAAATAAAAGGTTTTAATGTATATACATATTTCATTGTCAAGAAACATAACAGATGATCAATTAAAGACTTAACACAAATATACTCCACTTTATAAAATTCTGGAAAGGAAGCAGAATAGAAATAAGAATTCAAGGAGAAAGAGAATGCTGTAAAATTAATAACTGTTCACATAGTTTTGAATGGGTGATAATGGGTCTCAAATCACTAAGGTATTTATAGAGTCCATTAAATATATTTGATAGAGTAATATAGAAATTTCATTCTGAAATATCTATAAGGTATCAGAAATTATATTCTCTGTAATTATTTAAACAATTTTTTTTAGAAATTATCTTAAAAACATGAGACATACATAGTTTTTCAAAATCATTTTGGGATGAATGTGAGCAAAAAACTTAGAAAAGCAACGTTTTAAAGCATTTTAACTGGTGTAACAGTTACAAAAATATAGTAAACTTTAGAGACTGAGAAAACTAGGGGCTTAATGCTCAATCTCTAAGGCCCCTTTCATATTTTCAAGTCTAAAGCTTCAGGATTCTGTCTATATGGCGAGTAAAGACAATGTTTAAGCACGTAATTTATCTAAAGATTAATCAAACTGTATTAGAGCAGTTTCTATTAATCTCTCCTCTAAAATTTCATAAATATATTATTTAAATATAATTTTTAAATAAAATGTTAATTAAGTTGATAAATACCTCACAACTTAGTACCCAATGCTATGTAAGTCAGCATATAAAGATTTCTAAGAGAACATGGAGGTAAATATCAGGTGATATCTACTGAAGTTACAATAAAAATGTGAAAAATTGAAAACCTCTGTCATATTTTTATAAGACTATATATGGCACAAAAGTCCTCATCATACTTTAAAAAAAACCATGATTTTTATTTGCTAATGCAATTGTTCCTCATTCACTGACATTCATTTAAAATAGTGGCATTTTATATGATATACTCACTGAAAAAAGCTACAACCACTGCCTTATATCAAGTTAATTTTGTTATATTCTAAAAATGAACTAGCCCTGGGAACCATTTAGTCTGATTCAGTAGAAAGGAGGTTGAATGCAACATTTTTAACAGACTGTTTCAACTAGGAAAATTAATCTATACAATTTTTTTTTATTTGGAAAGCTGTCATTTGAAAGTGCTTAGGCTGTACTCACCATGAGAATGAAAGTGTCCATGTCCGTGACCGTGATCATGGCTGTGTGCAGCACCATGTTTTAATTCATGACTATGGCAATGATCTCCATGGCCATAGGCCTGATCCAGAGCACCGTTAAAGAGGGAATGACTATGTCCATGGCCTAAAAACAAAGAGTGTTAGAACAAAAGGTACGTAAAAATATATTATTTAATGGTTACAATAATACTGATATTAGTAAAAAGAATTAGCTCTAAAACCAGATTCAATTGAGTAAACACTTAATTGTAACAAGTACTATAAATTCATTAAAACAATACTGAGTTCCTAGTATAGAGTACATGAAGGAAACGAAAGCATGGCAGGAAGTAGTAGACTTTCCTGGGGATAAAAATAAGTGAAAAATATACAAAAATATTTAGAGATTAGATAATGTTGTTCATTCAAGAAGTTCTTATTTGGAACACAGTATGCTACAGCAGCATTCTAGGCACTGGGGATAAAGCAGTGAATAACACAGACAAAAATCTTGGCCAGAACTTTGCCAAATACTATTACTCACACTAACAAAGATGAAATAATGTATGCATATAGTCACATTAAGGCAGAGGGAGGGAAGTGGCTGCATTTGCTAAAAGGATCAGTAAAATTAATACCAAAGCATACAGAATCCTTAGGGGAAAAAAGTATAAAATAGTGCAAAATCCTCTCTCCATAGCAGACCTAAATAACTACTAAACCATTAAGGAAACATCTAAAAACGATTCCAAAGCACAAAAAAAAAAAAAAAAGACTGGATGCTACTAATTCAAAAATTACTGCTTATATTTACAAAAATCCTAAATACCAGGAAATCAAATTCAGCATTAATGCATTATATGAAAAATCATGAATAATGGGGAGATCAACTTCCAGAATGGTGGATGGGAATGTTGGCAAACTAGCTCTCCTAAAACAACAAAAATATGGGGAACTAAAAAATTTCAGAACTCTGGCACTTAACCAAAACCACAAAACAAACTGAAAATCATCTACTCAAGAAACCACCAAATCTTAGTAAGACAGCAAGGTCTTGATGTTTTAACATGGGGGTATTCTGACCTCCTGCCTTAGCTCATCTGAAATTAGTCAAAAGCCAGCAACATTGCAGACAATGGAGAGATTTGATTTCTTCTGAAGCTCTGTTAAAAGCATCACTTGACTGCACAATCAATATTTTGTCCAAACTTGCAGTTCCCTGGAAAAAATTCTATTCTCAATTTGGTGAATATCAGACCCAGAGCTCAGCTCTCAGAACTCAATAGCCACACACTGCAGGAAATGAATTAGTTCAAGATAGTCACACAGCAGGAAAAAAAGCAATAATATAAAGAACAACAAACTTGGAGAGGAGAGGGTGAAGTAATCTGATACCAGAGTTGTTTCAATATAAAATGTCCAGTTTTCAACAAAAAATTATAAGACTTGCAAAGAAGGAGGAATGTATGCCACACATACAGGAAAAATAAAAAATAAGCCAACAGAAAATGTTCCAGAAAGGGACTCAGATTTTGGGCTTAATAGATAAAAACTTTACATCAGCTATTATAAATATGGTCAAAGAACTAATGGAAACCATGTCTAAAGAATGAAAGTATAACAATGGCTCACCAAACACAGAACATTAATAAAGAGATAGAGATGATAAAAAAAGAACCAAACAGAAATTTTGCAGTTAAAAAAATACAACTAAAATAAAATACTTTAGAAGGGCCCAGCCACAGATGTGGGTGGCAAAAACAGCAAACTTGAAGACCGATCAAGAGAGATGATCCACTCTGAGAAGCAGGAAAAAGAAAATTAAGAAAAATGAACAGAGCTTTGGAGACCTGTGTAAACATCAAGTATATCAAATTAAGTATAACAGGAGTCTCAAAAAGAGAAGAGAAAGAAAAAATATCTTAAGATATGTCTGGAAACTCTCCAAATTTGATGAAAAATATTAATCTACACATTCAAGAAGCTCAGAAAGCTCCAAGTAGAATAAACAGAGCCATATCTAGAGACATCACAATCAAATTGATGAATATCAGAGAAAATCTTGAAGGCTGTATAACAAGATAAAAATGACTTATCAGGACAAGGGAACTTGAATGAGATTAAATGCAGACTTCACCACAAAAACCATGGAGGCCAAAGGACAATGGGATGACAAAATCAAAATAGAAAAAGACTCAACCAAGAATTCTAAATTCAACTAAAGTCTCCTTTAAACATAAAGGAAAAATAAGACACTTCCACATAAACAAAAGCATTCTTCACAAGCGAAACGAAAAGATACTAAATAGTAACTCAAATCCACACAAAGAAATAAACAGCACCAGTGAAGGTAATTATGAAAGAGAATAACTGTATTTTTAAATTTATAACTTGTTTCTTCTCCTATACCTTTTAGAAGACAACTGCATAAAGCAACAATTATAAAACTGTATTGATGGACTTATAAAAACGTGTAATTTTTCTGACAATAATCATTCAAAGAAGGAGGTGGGAATGGAAGTATATTAAAACAAAGTTTTTGTATATTATTAAATTATTATTAATCTGAACTAGATAGTTTTAAGTTAAGATGCTACTTATAATGCCCACAGGAACAATTAAGAAAATAACTTAAAAATGTACAGCAAAAAAAACAAGAGAATTAAAGAGGTGCACTAGAAAATATCTATATAAAAGACAAGAATTGAGAAATGGAGTATCAAAAAGGACAGAAGATATAGACAACAAATATTAACATAGTAGATGTAAATCCTACCCTAGTAGTAATTATATGAAATGTAAATTATTTAAGCATCTCAATGAAAAGACAGAGATTATATAAGTGGATTAAAAAATATATAGTATAGCTATATTCTGTCATATTCTGTCTAGAAGAGGTAAACTTTAGATTCAAAGACACAAAGAGGTTGCAAGTAAAAAGACAGAAAGAAAAATATACTATGCAAGCAGTAAAAAGAGAGAGAGAGTGCATGAGCAAGCGAGTTGGAATGGCTATCATAATACTCTAAGCCAAAAATTATTGTGAGTGAAAAAGAACATCTTATAATAACAGGTTCAATCCCTCAGGAAGATATAACAACTATAAAAATACATGCATGAACAACATAGCTCCAAAATACATAAAGCAAAACCTAGAACAATTAAATGTAAAAATAAACAACCTTACTTTCAATAATGGATAGACAACTAGGCAGAAGGTCAACAAGGAAACAGAAGATTGAATAACTATGAACAAATTAGACCTAACAGACATCTACAGAACACTCTACCGAACAAAAGCAGAATACATATTCTTCTCACAGGCACATGGAAGATTCTCCAGAATAGACCAAATGCAACAGCATAAAACAAGACTGAATAAATTTTTAAAAATTTGAAATAATTAAAAAATATGTCATTTGATCACAATGAAATTAAATCAGAAATTGACAACAGAAGAAAACTAGGGAAATTCACAAATATGGGAAAATCAAAAACACATTCCTAAATAACTAATGGGTCAAAGAAGAAATCACAAGGGAAATTTAAAAATACTTTGAGATTAACAAAATTGAAAACATGAAATACTCAGACTTACAGGTTACATTATAGCAGTGCTGAGAAAGAATTTATAGCTGTTATGCCTATGCTAAAAAAGATCTAAAAAATAATATAAACTTTCACCTTAAGAAATTAGAAAAGGAAGGAAAAAAAAAACTAAACCCAAAGCAAGAAGAAAGTGCATAAGAAATGTTACAGCAGAAATAAAATGAAATAAAGGTGAGAAAAGCAATGGAGAAAACCAGTAAAACCAAAAGGGGGTTCTTTGAAAAAAAGACTGACCAAGAAAAAAAATGAAAGAAGGCAAAAATTACCAAAATCACTGCTGACCTCATGGAAATAAAACAAAAGAAATTTTAAAAAGGCATACTTTTTAATACATATCTATAAACAATCATAAGTCATTTAGATAAAATGGACAATTTTTAGAAATGTACAAAGTGCTGAAACTGATTCAAGAGGAAACAAAAGTCAGAACAGATCTATAAAAAGCAAAAAAATTGAATTAATAATTTTAAAACTTCCAAAAATGAAAAGCCCAGGCTTCACTAGTGAATTCTGCCAAATATTTAAAAAGTACCAGTACTTCAAAAATTCTTCCACTATTATGCCCCTAAAAAGATAGAAGAGAAGGGAACATTTCCCAGCTCGTTATATAAGGCCAGTATAACCCTAATACCAACATCAGCCAAAGACATCAAAAGAAAACTACAAAACTATATCCCTTAAGAATAAAGACACAAAAGTCTTCAACAAAATAGTAGCAAACCAAATCCAGCAATATATCAAAAGGATTATGGCCATGGCCAAATGGGATTTATCCTAAGAATGCAAAGGTGATTTAATGTCTGAAAATCAAGCAATGTAATACACCGTATTAACAGAATAAAGATAAATAGAATAAAGGATAAAACCCAACTAATCATCTTAAAAATGAAGAAAAAAAAGTCATTAATAAAATCCAGTACCCTTTCATGATGAAAACACCCAGTAAACTAGGAACAGAAAAAAACTACCTCAATCTGATAAAGGGCATTTGTGGAAAACCTATAGCTAACACAGCTAATTTCATATCTAATGAAGAAAGATTGAATACTTTCACCTTCAAATCAGGAAAAAGAAAAGAATGTCCACTCTCACCATTTCTATTTAACTATGTAAGGATCTGACCAGGGCAATTACGCAGGGGAAAAAAAAAAGGCATTTTGACTGGCATTCATCTGCACCTTCAGCAAGTCATAGTAGTCAAAGATCACTAATCAGAGATCATCATAATAGACATAATAATAATGGAAAAGTTTGATATATTGCAAGAATTACCAAAATGTGACACAGACACAAAGTGAGCAATGCTACTGGGAAAATGGCACCAACAGATTAGTTCAAGGCAAGGCTGCCACAAACCTTCAATTTGTAAAATATGCGAAAGCTGCAAAGAGCAATAAAATATGGCATGTTTGTATTTAGAAAATTCTAAGGAACCCACTAAAAACCTATTAGAATAATGAACAATTTCAGCAACATGGCAGGACACAAGTTCAATATACAAAAACGAGCTGTATCCCTATATACTAGCAATTAGCAATCCAAAAATGAAATTAAGAAAACAATCTCTCTTGTAATGGTAGCCAAAAAAAAAAAAAAAGCCCTAAGAGTAATAAAAGAAGTGTAAGACATGTACACAAACAACTACAAAACATTGTTGCAAGAAACTAAAGACGCTAAAACTAAATGGAAAGGCATCTCATGTTCATGGATCAGGAGACTTGACATTGTTAAGATGACAATAATTCCCAAATTGATCTGCAAATTCAATACAATTCCTATCAAAATCTCAGATGCTTTTTTTTTTGTAGAAATTGACAAACTGATGCTAAAATTTATATGGAAATGCAAGAAGGGACCCAGAATAGCCAAAACAACTTTAAAAAAGAATAAAGTTGGACAATTCACATATTCTGATTTCAAAATCTACCTCAAAGCTGCATTAATCAAGACTGCATGGTACTGGTAGAAGGAAGACATATAGATCCATGGAACAAAATTGAGAGTCCAGAAACAGACTCTCTCGTTTATGGTCAACTGATTGTTGAGAAGACTGCCAAGACAATTCATTGGGAAAAATAAATCTTTTTCAACAAATACTGTTGAGACAACCAGGTTATTTATACATAAGAAAATGATACTGGACCCATACCTCATACTATACACAAAAATTGACTCCAAATGGACCACAAACCTAAATTTTAACCTCTTAAATTTAAAGATGGTTCCTCATGAGAAAAATCTATCAATGTAATTACTAATTTTAAACTAAATAAAGCAGGAAAAAAACCATGATTACTTCAATAGATGCAGGAAGAAAAGAATATCCTTAACTTGATAAAGTGGTTTTATCAGAAACAGACCATCAGACCCAATGGTAAAACTTAAGTAGCATTCTTCAATATTGTGCTAGAGGTCCTGGCTATACAATTAAGACAAGCAGGAGTAACAGCTTTCATTCTCAACAGTAAGAAAAACTCTCAACTACCTAAAAATGAACTAAATGAAAAATATAAAGATCTTTATTAAAGTATCTAAAACAATTTAATAAAGGCTATAAAATTTAACATGTCAGCTTCCACAATTAAACATAAAGATGATGCATTCCCAATCAAAATCCCAAAAATATTTTTTATAAAACTTGACTAACTGATGAAAAATACCAAATAAGCAAGATAGGTCCAAAAACTTTGGGGTGAAAAAGAGAGAGAGAGAAAGATGGGACTAACCCAACCAGATATTAAAACATAAAATTTACAGCAATTATTCCAGTGTGACAGTGGGGCAGCCAAAGATAAACAGGCCAGATCTGATACATAAGGCACTTTAATATAGGGTAAAAGTATACTTTCATATTAATGAGGTAAAGAGCAGATTAATAAATGGTGCTTGGAAAACTGCTTTTTCACACTGAGAAAAAAAAAGTCCTAACTCACCCCACCACAAAAATGAATTACATACAGATGAAGGACCAAAGTACATGGGAAACAGACCATAAAACCAAAATTTTCACAGTATTAAATTATAAGAGAATTTGTTTATAATTCAGGGATGGGAAACTCCTTAAACAAAGCAGACAACGTATCATAAAATATGTAAGACAGAAAAACTAGACTATATCCAAATTAAAAACCTCTATGTAAAAGTTTCAAGACAAACAATAGACTGGAGAAAGATATTTGCAACACATAAAACAAAAACTTAGTATACAAAATATATTTTAAAATGCTTATATAAATGGATTATAATAAGACAATAAACAGAAAAACAGGAAAAAAAAAAAAGAAAAAAAGGACAATTCCAGAAGAGGAAAAATCTGAGCAGCCTAAAAACATACAAAGATTTTCAACCTCACTACCAGTCAAAGAAATACTAAATAAAATGTGATACCATTTTTGTTAAAATATCAGCAGAATGGTTTGAAACCCATAATATTATGTTTTGATATGGGCGAGAGAATATTGGTACTTGCATTTTTTGCTGGGGTAAATGTGAATGAGTCATTTGGAGGGAAAACTGCTAACCTCTATTGAAACTAAAAACTACATATTCTGTGTTTCAGCAACTTTACTCATATTCCAGCTCACTGAAATTTAAAGAACTTCCTGTGATGATGGAAATCTATATTTGCTGACCAATACGGTAACCCTATGTGGCTACTGAACACTTGAAATGTCATTAGTGTAACTGAGGAACTGAATTTTTATTAAATTCAACTAACCATAATTTAAACTTAAATAGTCACATGTAATTAATGGCTACTGTAGAGGACAGAACAGTTCTGAAGAACACTTGCATGTGTTCCCAAGGAGAAGCTTCATATGAAAGAGCGAAACAATGGAAACGACATATGTCCAAAGAAGACTGGTTAAATAAACCATGGCAACCCACACCATGGAGTTTTATGTGTCTGTTAACAAGAGAAGGTACATTTGATGGATACTAGGCAGAAGGTTCTCAAAGACAGACTGTATAATACATCTCATATACCCGTATACTATAATATTTGAGTTACTAGATTTGTATTGTGGTTCTTGATGTTTGTTTATTTCATATAAATGGTATCACACTAAACCGTTGCGCTACAGAGGTCTGGAAGATACCCACACACCAAACCGACAATATCTGTAACCCTGAGAAGGTACTAAGAGGGAGGGACATAGAAAAGTGGGAAGGATGGTTCAGGAAGACATTAATAAGAGCCTACTAACATATTACTTTCATTATTAAAAAATCAATATAGAGTTAAACCTTAAAAATTATCAATTTTCAAAAGTAAATAATTATGAAAGAAACCAGAAAATGAAGAAACAAAGGGTTCTAACCATCATACCAGAGCCATGAGAATGTCCATGACCTCCATGCTTGAAAACAAATATTCCTATTAGGTTTACCACAAACCCAAGAATTGAAACAAGCAGCAGTCTCTCATGGTGTACATCTGGGGGGGCCAGTGCTCTCTAGAAAACACACAATACAAGCAAATTGCATCGATGTAATTCCTGATGGATCAGCAGGTAAAAACAAAAAGAAATTTTTAAAACTTTTTAGTTATTTTCAGAATTAAAATCACTCCAAAATTATCTTCCAAAACGGTTAAAAGAAATAAAACCAATGCTCACATACTGCAGAAAAGGTAACAGCTGCTATTTTTAGATAAATACAAACATTTAAAAGCATGAATATTTGGTCTAAGACCATCCTTCTTTGGAATCTTAAAATATTGTCATTAATTTTAAGTTGATTAATCTTCAAATTTTCTCTTTGTTGTAATATACCAAATATTAAAGATTCACTGGCAAAATCTTCAGATTCTATTTTAAGTGCTCTTCCCGTTGGACCACAATGCCAGCATTGTGTCTGTACTTTTCATAGTGTCAATTCTTCATTAACAGCTTGTAAAGAACTATTATATAATTATTTTCCATTTCAAGTAGTTTTACATAAAATCTTTTCAACTACTTTGTAAGTTCCTCCTGTACCCACATAATTTTATCTAATCCAAGACCATCCTCAATAAATACTTAATGTTAGTGTAAAAAGTAGCTCTATTACATGTATCTTTAGTTAGTAAATATTTTTATTACGGAAACATAATTTACTGACTAATTATTATTTACTATACCTCAACTCCTTCAGAGAAAATAAAAAAAGCAGTGAAGATCAAAAACAGGCCATTGACAAAGCCAGCCAGAACTTCTGCTCTAACATACCTAAAGGAGAGCAAAGTCAACATCCGCGTTATTAACTTATTCCTTAAAAAAATCAAATCATACAATTCACATATATCCAGAGGTTCTAAACTATATTAGATGATTATTCTGGCCAAAAAAGTGCAAGCGTTTATCGTATAATATGTTTTATTGTACATATGTTATAAAATTGAGGAAGTGAATTTAATTATTATGGATTATGTTTAACCGCAGAATGCCACAAAATACACAGATTTCTACAAGCCAATCAAACAATCTTCTTACAGTAAGTAGGTTTAGAGAGGCCTTTCACAGAAACGCAAATTTCAGGTTGCCACTGGAGAAGAAAGAACAGGACCAGGTAAGCAGGCAAAGAAGGAAGCATACAAAGATATAAAGTAGAAAAGAGCTTGAAAAAAAAGGGATTTTTATAACTTATTAATTCCTTCTTTTCTAAGAACTCTTTATGCTTTCTGCTTTGTACCTTTCAGCTTTCAACTCTTTGGCAAGTGGAGCTTTGACCTGAAGGAAAATAAAATTATTTCTGAATTATCCCAGAGACAACTTGAGATTTATATTTCTATAACTCTTCTTCTAAGATTAATAAATTTAACAAAAACTTTTCAATTACCTATGTTTAGAATCAATTCTAGTTTCACATAATTCTAATTAAACTATTTTAAAAATACCTGTCTTTTTCTCCATGGACTTCTGCAGCTTTCTGCCTCCTACCTATGTGAAGCATTGGGGAAAGATTTTATTTTTCCATGAGGTACAGTGTATATTTCTACACTTGGAAATAATGCATATTTCTACCTTCTAATACATATAAGTGAATTAAATTAACATATTATTTGTCAAAGCATATACTTCTTTTCATTAAATTCAAAGAATTCACAGCCTGCTTTCCATACTCCACACTTAGGAATTTATCCAATATAACAGCAGGGTTACTGCCCCCAAAATAAAAAGCACTTTTCTTTTATTCCACCCTTCTAATCCCATAGCTAATGCTTGATTGAAAGCCTTTTGTCCTTGAGTTCCACTAGATTTCAAGATCAAAGGCAAGACTGTTTTTCAGGCATCTTTTTGTCCCTAAAGCTTAGCCTATTTAGCTGCTCCATAAATTCTGATAAATTGTTTGGCTAAAGTGATTCAATTAGGCGTAATATATTTGCTAAACTTGGCTGTAGGATTAAAATGAAAAACTTGTGAAATCTAGACTAGACACACTTGCTTTTACACATGACTAACTACACAGACTTGAACAGACCGAGTGTTGGAATTAAAACATGATCCATGAATGTACTATTGCCTATTGAAGTATGATGGTATCTGGATTCTTTAGCCAGGGCAAAGAAGATACAAGTACACATACATACGTATATAAGCATGTGCGTATGCATCTGTCTACCTATCAGAGGTGTATCACTTTTATTCTGGCTTTGCTATTTCAAAACTAGGACTGTGACAAGACACAAAGATGATTTTACATAAAGAAAGACTGAAAAGTTTTTCTTGCCTCTCAGACTCCCTCCTATTGCTTCTTCTATTACAGTTGGTCTGCTATTGTGATCATATTAAATAACGGGGGGTTTGGGGATTCATCACTGGGCTTAGCCTACTGAGTGTCATTTTGATGTACTGGCACCCGTACATTCACTATTGCCGCTACTTACTACTACAGCAATTACTAATAGTTTCCAATGTTACATCAGCTTTTATTCCCTAATTTTTCCCTTCTCAAAAGGAAAAGAACAAAAACAAAAAACAAATAAAGAGAAGGTAGGATAAACAAATTAAAAAGTGGCAAGAATATTATTCTCATATATTTTAGTTAAAGTTGAATTAGTAAAACCTGCTCTGGTACTGAAGGTGTTCAAAGCTATTCCTAAACACCATCTTACACCAGGAGATTGTGCATTCTAAACAGAAAACAAAAGACTGTGCATTCTAAACAGAAAACAATAGATATCCTAACAGTTAAGGAACTGAGGAGAATCTTTATAGTCACTTACAGTTTATCCAGAAGGATTGTTTAATAAGATATTCTAATCAGATCTTTATATACAATATGTATGAATTACTAATTTTCCAACACAAAATTATAACTTCACATACAGTCTTTCTTTAATGATTCAAAATATACTTAAGAATATTTTGATTATACAGTGCCATAAAATAGGTACTTTTCTGAGCTTTCAAGCTGTTTAGATTTATAAACAGGATCTCTTGCTCTATAGTATAAAAATAATATAATTAGTATCTTTGTTTCACTTTTTATAATTTTACAAGTAACCATATCACTCTGGTTATACCCCAAACAGCAAGTTCTGTCACAGAATTTCATCTCTCTCTCTTTCAGCACTTGTCACAATCAATGTAAAGTTATCATGGTATTTTTACAGAACTGCTTCCTCATCTGACCACAAGCTCTTCTAAGGCAGAAACCCTAACTTACTCCTTTTTATATCATTAGAAGTAGCAAAGTATTCAATTCATAGTGGGCCCTTGAAAAACATCAGACGAGAACAAGAGCATGTGGAAGAAGCAGAGTGTGTGCTCAAAGTCAAAAGCAAAGCTGGAAAGAAAGTGGAAGTAGTGGGGGAGCACAGGTAGAAGAGAGAACCAGGGGTGCAAGAAACAGCTCCTGTAAAAGGGCGGATGTGAACAGGAGAGGGAGAGAATGAGGGAACCTGCACGGGAAAGGGGGTGCTCAGGGAAGGAGAACCAGTGAAAGAAGGAAAGAGCACCTGGGAAAGGGAGAGAAAACACTACAGCTGAAGAGGTTGGGACACAAAGGCGAGAAAGAGCCCGAGAGACACAGTGGCACAGCATAGAGGGGGAGAGCAGGAAAAAGGGAAGAATAAGAGAAAAGACGTGAGGGAGGAAGAAAGAGAGGATGGGGGAGGAGAAGGGAGAGAGAGATAAAAGGTCATGAGCACAGACCCAAGTAACTGGAGAGAAAGAACAAGAAAGAGGGAAGGGAGTTTAGGAGGGAGGAAAGGGAGAGGAGGTGCAAGAGGATGGGGACAAGAGATGGAGTGAAACAGGAAAGAGGAGAAAAAGGAGAGAATGCAAGCGAGCTCTCACAGGGGAGAGGGAGGGGCAAAGACAGAGGACAAGTGTCAACAAGTAAGCAGGTCAGAGCGGGGAGCAGGAAAGAGAAAGCGGGTGAGGGCGAGAAAGAAAGAAGATATTAGTTCTGAGCGTTGCTTACACATAATTACAATGACATTGTAAAATATTCTATGAGCTCAAAAAAGGAAAACACTCGGGCAGTGTAAATCAAACAATGGAAACCCCACTATTCCCCACAACTGGAGATGGCAAAAGGCAAGCCCTGCGTCTGAGGGTACTAGGCTCCGAAGTGAGGCCAGTTGTTCTAAATAAAGTCCCTTCAGCATAAGAACACTCTGCAAATATTGGGTTAATTATCCAAATTTAGCAAGAGTATGAGAAATATATTACATAAAAGCAGAGCTGAAGGGAATAAGTAATATAAAATATAAGTAATATAAATAACGATTTTAAGTAAATTAACAGCAATATATCACCCAAAAAAGAAAAAGAGACATGACCATTTTCACATACTAAAACTTTTTCTTTTTCCTCCTCTTCAAAAAAACAAAACAAAACAAAACAGGTTAAAGTTGAGAAATTCCCCTTTCTAGTAATAACCTAACCTAAAAATTTTTGGTAAAATCAAGATGCAAAAGAGCTTAGATGCAAAAAAAAAAAAAAGGTGGGGTGTTTCAAGGGTTCAAATCACACAAGTGTATTCAATTGTGGAAATTCATCAAGTTTGAGAATTATGTTTTTTTTCTGTATTTCTCATACGTTAATTAAAACATTTTTAAAAAGTCTTACCCATAAGAGAAAGCATCATTATCTCTCCATTTTGAAATAACAGATGCTGCCAATCCAGCCAAAATGGCAGTGCTATCGAAAAACATGTGAAAGGAGTCGGAAATCAAACCTAAGCTGGAAAAGAATAAACACAATGGCATATTATAATAATAACCAAATAGTGGTCATCCTTCTCTAAAAATCTAAAAGATTCAGCCTCTACTCATCAGGAACTAATCTTCTAAAAAGACAACATCTAAATATGATACACAGAAAGATACTAAGGATCATTTTCAAGCATCTAAGGAGAAACACTCACACCCCTTGCCCACGGAAAAGCCAACTGCAACTGCAAGAGGGGTAGAAACGAAGCCATCTGCTGCTGGGTGAGGGGTAGGAATCTGCCCACCCTCTGGTGACTAGGAAAGGTCAGCAGCCACTGAAAGAGACAGAAAAAACAGCCATCTGCTACTGGGGGCAAGGCTGAAGCCAGCTTGGGCCCAGGATCTTACACTGATACAAAGCAAAGGTCTCCTGTTGGAAGAGGAGCAGGACTCTTGCTCCTTCTCTCCTTCTCTTGATACAAGGCTGGAGCGAGAGGTGGGAAAAGGGGCAGGGACATTAACAACCCCTACTCTGACCCTCAGGTATAAAGGGTCTGCCTGATACTGAGGCTGCAACAGGAGAACCAAATACCCAACCCCTAACCCCCTAACCAAAACCTTGATTAAAGTAAAAGACAACAATCTACCACTGAGAGCTGAGCAAGAGCAGGCTCCCTGGTGGTGCAGGTACGTAGAGCTTGCTGAAAGCTGAGAGAGGAGAAAGAACACTGAAAAAACCCTCCCGTACTCCAAATCTCACACCTGAAGCACAAGGTGTTAAAAGCCACTGGAAACATTTGAAGTCTGTGGCTTCTCGAAATTAACTAGCAATACCAAAACACAAAAACCTAGCTCAACTATTCACCAGGTAGGTAGGTTCGAAACCCCCTGACCTGACCAAATAATAATAATAATAATAATAATAATAATAATAATAATAATAATAATAATAATAATAATAATAATAAAGTGTTCACATTTCTGGGCATAAATACTATTAACATTAGTCTCTATTACTCTTTTAAATATAATATCCAGCACTGAATAAACATTTATAAGGCACATAACAAGATGAAGGAAAAACATAAGACCCATCGTCAAGAGCGAAAATAGTCAACAGAATCAGAAGCAGAAGAGGCCTAGAGGTTAGACTGTTACAGGGACTTTAAGATAAATATGATTGATACATTAAAAGATGTGGTACAAAGCTGCAGAAGATTAATGAACAAGTGGGAACTTTCCACAGAGATAGAAACTATAAAATAATCAAATGGAAATGATAAAAATTTTAAAAAATTACAATATTGAAGATAAAGAATAACATACATGGGATTCTGAGCAGAAAGGACACAGAGAGAAAGAACCAGGTCAAAAGAAATTATACAAAGTGAAACACAAAGAAGAAATGAAATGGGGGAAAAAATAACCCAACAAACAGAACAGGGCAGTCAAAACCTTTCAGAGCATCAAACAGACTAAAGTACATGTATTTAAATTTTCAATAATGGAGAAGAAAGAATAGGGAGGAGAAACTATTTAAAGAGAAAATGCTTGGAGTTTTCAAAAAAAAAAAATGACATATCCAAGAAGTTTAATGAAGTCCAAGCAGGAGAAAACTCCTACCTACCTCACAAACTGCTGAACACCAAACAGAAAGAGAGAGTCTTAAAGACAGTTAAAAAAATCAAATATGGAAAAACAAAGACATCTATGATAAAGATAAAGATAGCTATGATATAATAACGATAAAGATAAAATACGCTATCAAGCATATTTTGCACCAGAAACGACCCAAGGCAGAATGCAATGAAGCAACGTCTTTAAAGTATTGAAAGGAAAAAAAAGTGTCAACTGAAAATTCTATATCTAGAAAAATATCTTCCAAAAATGAAGGCAAAAATAGACTTTTTCAGACAATGAAAACAGAGAATTCATTGCCAGCAGATCTGAATTAAAAGAATCAGCAGTTCTTCAAGTACAAATACAATACCAGATGGAAACTTAGATCTGTACAAAGAAGATGAAAATGGTAAGTATGTAGGAAAATACTTAAAATAATTTTTTAACTTTTAATACCTTTAAAAGATCATTGAGAATAGAAAAAAGGAGGAAAAACCAACAAGCCAAAAGTTGGTTCTTTAGAAGTAGCATCAAAATTCACAAACTTTAACTAAACTGACCAAGACAAAAGAGAAAGAACTCAAATTACTAAAGTCAGCAATGAAAGTGAGACAATACTACTAACTTTACAGAAATAAGAAGGATTGTAACAACTAAATATAAACCAACAAATCAGATAACTCAGATGAAACAGACAGATTCCTAGAAACAATCTACCAAAACTGAGTCAAAAGAAAATCTAAAAAGATTCTTAAGTAAACAGATTAAATTAGTAATTCCCAACAAGGCAAGGTTGGTCTACTATATGAAAATCAACCAATATAATACATCATGTCAATGGAATAAAGGACAAAAACCACAAGATATCTTAACAGATGCAGAAAAGCATTTGACAAAATCTGACACTTCTATGATAAAAACACTCAATAACCTGTAGTAGAGGGAACTTCCTGAACAAATAAACAGCACCTACAAAAAACCCACAGCTAACATCAGCATCATTAATGGCCAAAGACTGAATGCTTTCCCCTAAGATCAGGTATGAGATAAAAAATGTCCACTCAGCACTTCTATTTTACATTGTACTGGAGGATGTAACAAGGGCAATTAGGCAGGAAATGAAATAAAAGGTCCCCCGACAGGAAGGGAAGGAGTAAAATTATCTCTATTTGCAAATGGTATGATCTTGGATATACAAAATCTTAAGGCCTCTACTAAAATTATTAAGAACTAAATGAGCTGGGCAAGATTACAGGATGCAAGATGAATTATATTCTATATAATGTAGTGGTGAACAAAAATGAAATTTAAAAAATTTCCATTTACAATAGCATCAAAAAATACAATACTTAGGAATAAATTGAACAAAAAAAAAGTACAAAAAGCTATACTCTGGAAACTACAAAATATTGTTGAAAAAAATTAAAGACGACCTAAATAAATGGAAAGACATCCATGTTTATGGATCAGAAGACAATACTGTTAAGATGGCAATATTTCCCTCACTGATCTGCAGATTCAACTCACTCCCTATCAAAATCCCAGCTAACCTCTTTGGAGAAATTAATAAGCTGCTCTTAAAATTCATATAAAAAAGCAAGGGATCTAGAATAGCCCAAATAATATTAAAAAGAAAAGCAAAGTTAGAGGACTCACATTTCCCAATTTTGAAACTTATTACAAAGCTACAGTAATCAAAACAATGTTGGTACTGACATAAGAATAAACATATAGGTCAACAGAACAGAACTTAAGAGTTCACAAATAAATTCTCACATTTATGGCCAACTGTTTGTTGGCAAGAATGTCAAGATAGTTCAGTGGTGGAAAGAACAGTGTTTGCAACAAATGGTGCTGATACAGCTGGATATCCATATGCAAAAAATGATTTTTGACCCTTACTTCATACCACACACAAAAATTAACCTAAAAATGGATCAAAGGCCTAAACATGAAAGCTAAAATATTCACAGTCTTGGATTAGGCAATGGTTCTTATATATGAAAGCAAAAACACAAGCAACAAAAGAAAAAAGAGTAACAGACATCACTGAAATTTTAAAACTTCTGTGCTTCAAAGTACAACATCAGGAAAGTAAAAAGATAATGCACAGGTGGGAGAAAATATTTGCCAATCATATATCTAACAAGGGACTTACATCCAGAATGTATGAAGATTCTTAAAACTCTTCAAAAAGATAAATTACCCAATTTTTTAAGTGAACAAAGGATCTAAATAGACATTTCTCCAAAGAAGACACAAATGGCCAATGAGCGCATGAAGAGATACTCAGCATCACTAATTACAATGCAGGGAAATGCAAATAAAAACGACAGTGAGAAACAACTTCACACCCACTGGTATGGCTATAATCAAAAAGACCAACAAACACAAGTGTTGATAGAGAAATGGGAGCCTTCCTACACTGCTGAAATATTATTTGGCAACTAAACTAAATGAAATAATGAAACATGCAGAACATGGATGACCCTTGAAACCATTATGCTAAGGGAAATAAGCCAGTTATAAAGGATTATATGCAAATGATTTCATTTATATGAAATGTTCAGAATAGGCACATACATAAAGATTAGTGATTGAATTAGGGCAGATCAGTCGAAGGAATTAGAGGGTGATGGCTAGAAGTGCAAAGTTTCTTTTTGGGGTAATAAAAATGCTCTAAAATGGGTTGTTGTGATGGTTTTACAACTCTATGAATATACTAAAAGCCATTCAACTGTATACCATAAATCAGAGAATTTTAAGGTATATGAATTATATCTCATAAATATATTAATAAAAATATTTTTTAAAAGATATCTGACTTTCTAGGGCAGAGGTCAGCAAGCTATGTCCCACAGGCCAAATCAGGACCACCATCCACTTTTGTAAATAAAGCTTTATTGAAACACAGTGTGCTCATATGTTAACATATTGTCTATGGCTGCTTCTATGCTACAATAGTTGAATGGAGAAACTGTGACAGAGACTTTTTGACCCTTAAAGCCTAGAATATTTTCTATCTGCTGTCAACAGAAAAAGTATGCTAACCTCTCATATAAAGTGAAATGTATGACAAGAATAGCGCACAGGACAGAAGGAAGTGGAAGTGTGTTACTACAAAGTTTTTACAAGATATACAAAGAAATACATTATTTGTGATGTTAAAGAGTCGTATTATACATGCTAAAAAAAAGCCACTAAAGGGGGGTGTGCAGGAAATCCTATTGGGCACAGGATTCTGCACCAACACAAGGCAGACATTCTGCTATTACTGAAGAAGGAGCAGGAAACTCACTCTCACCCAAGACCATCCACATCTATGTGACAGACTTTGGTTGTCCTGGAAGGGTGGGTAAAAATGTTGGGGAGAAACCAACTCCTGAGGCCCAGGCTCACAGGGCCTGCCTA